AAAAAAAAAAAAAAAAAAGAAATGAGACACACGTAGGCCTGGGATTTAGCTCAGTGGTTCCGCTGCCTGCCTTGCAAGTACAAGGTCCCAGTTTGATCCTGGATCAAAGAAAAAAAAGAAAAGAAATGAAATGAGGCACACTTATCTTTTACTGCAAGATTTACCTAGAGTTTGGCAGTTGTGATGGTCCAAAGAACATCTGAGACCTCTGAGGCATCTCAATCATCTGAGGTCCGCCAATCGGATGGCAAGGGCACTTGAGCCCACCCCTGAGGTGGGCCTAGCCACCCCAGTGCAGTGTATCTTTCAGTGAGTGCTTCTGCACATGGGGCATGGCTTGGGAGAGAGTCCTGGGTTGGGACAGTCTTTGCCCCAGTGGCCAGTCTGATGATGACATGTAAAGGAGGGTTCTGGACCTCTTTTTTGGATCCCTGGAGGTTTTATTTGCCCCTGATTGGCCTTTAGCCCTTGTGGTGGGTTTTTACAGTGGATGTAAGCAGTTGTAAGTAAGAAATATATTGCTAGCACGTGGCCATATCACGATTATTGAAATGCTTAATTGGTCAATTTCTGATGGGAATATGAGGGCCAGATTTAATTTTTTTGGAGCTTTTTGCAAATGTCTGGGGCGGATTGGGTAATAACACACATCCTTAAAATAAGTTGTCTTTCTGGACTCTCAGGATTTAGAGCAGTAAACATTTTGAGAGTGGAGGCTAAGTGAGACGCAAACTTGGCCAGATTTTTATTTCATGGGGGCTTGGCCTGGGGACCACTGTAGCTCCATCCTCTAAATTGGGCTCAAGTGGCCTGTTTTTGTCACAGGATTGAGCTAGGGACCAAATCTGTCTGTTCTCACTCCTTGGGGTAGAATGTAGAAGTAAAGATGACACTAGAAGTAAGGTTAAACCATAAAATGAAGTGAAATATTGAAATTCTTAAACATATATAGTGGGGTCTGTGAAGAAGGAACCCAAGCACTGATTAATCTGAGAAAGCTCAGACAGAAAAAGGGGCATGAATTTGTACTATTTCCTCCACCCCCTCTACTTCCCAAAGCAGAACAGGGGGTGGGGCAGAAATGCCAAACTGCAGTTTAGACCTTGTGTGAGAGGGGCTTGGAATGGTCTTGTTAAAATCGGAAGGAGGGTTGGAGATGTCAGATAAGTGGAGAGAGTAGAGGTGAGAGCAAAGGAAGTTACAGTAGGAGGTCCTGGAGGAAGCTAAGCGGCATTGCAGCTGGGGCTGGAATGGAGGCAAAAAGGAGACCAGACCAGGTATGGGAGAGAGTGGGGAGAACAGGTAGGGAGGCAGGGACAGTGGGAGGATTTTGAGATTGGGGTGGATTAGGAGTAGGCCGAGGTTGTTGGGGTAGGGGAGGCAGACCTAGGGTGTAAGGAAGGAACATGGTCAGAGAGTAGCAGTGGGGACGGGGAGAGGAGGGAGCTGACAGAGGAGTTGAGATGAGAAGTTCAGTGGCCTCACAAGAGGCACAGAGAGAGGAATCTGCAAATAGCAAGGGATGTCTGGACACATGGGACCTCTGACCATATTTCCAGCTGGTGGTAGCAATAGTTGACTTGTTTTCCGAGAATTGAAAAGCTCAAAGTACCATTTTTAGGCCAATGTGATTCATTGTCTCATTTGTATTGTGGCCAGGCCAAATTATAAAAGTAAATGAGATCTTTTGGCTTCAGGACGGGGGTGAGATGGAGAGGTTTGAGGATTTTAAGAACACTAGCCAGGAGAGAAGAGGGGGGGATAGAGGAAGGGAGGTTGCCCATAGTGATGTCTGACTCTGGAAACCAGGGCTTTGGGGGAAAGGAAAGAATGTCTTTGAACAGTTTTCCTAAGCCGAGACAGTGAAAGGGCGACCAAGTCAGGTGTCCCTGAGACTGAGCAGCTGTCAGGGGAACCTGTTTTCTGAGAGGGTGACCAATTCTGGGTTTCAAGCACACTTTGAATCTGAGCTGGGTCAGACAGAGCACTCTGGGTGAGAAGGGGTGACAAGTGAAGAGCAGGTAGACCTCATCTAGGGCAAGGGGGAGTGAGATCACAGGTGGACCTCACCGAGGGTGAGGGGCAGCAAGGTCCTGTGCCGACCTTGTCTGGGGAGAGGGAGTGAGGTCCCAGGTGGACCTCCATCTGGAGAGGATTGCGGTGAGGGGGAGAGTAAAAGAATCACTTACCCAACCTGAAGAAAGGACCTGGACTAGCAGAAAGCCAAGCAGTGGCAGAAAGAAGCTAGAGGTTGGATGTCAGGGGTGGCCTCAAAATGCTCCACAGCATTCAGGGGAGGGAGCTTAGACCTCCCCATATGGGTCACGAAATGTAAGGTCAGACCAAGGCATAACTAAGACCACCAAGGCAGGCAAAGCCTAAGCAACACGAGATGAGTTTATTGCCATCTGGATGCAGATGGGCCAAGGGCAAGAAGGGAGAAGGCCATTGGCACTGAGAGGAGGGTGCTCCTGGTTATATGGGGCATTTTGGGGGGGCACTGGTCAAGAGGGTGGAAATTTTTAGAGTTCCATGGGTGATGGGCCTGGGGCCGGCTGATAAACAGGGTGGTGGCGAGAGCAACAGGGAAGTTGCTGGGTTCTTTGTGCTCCTGTGGATGAGGTTATCGGGTCTGCTTGGGCAGGGTGTCTGACTTGGGGGGGACCTGTCAAGAGAAACAAGCAACTTAAAATTAAGACAATTCTGAAGCAAAAGTTATGAAACAAAGGCTAGAACCTAGACTAGAATTTATGAAACAAAAAGTTAGAATTTGTGAAGCAGAAAGTTAGAACCTATGAAACAAAAGCAAACTCTTACCTCTGTCCTGTAATCTCAGGGGAAGACCTCCAAAATGATATAGGAGGAATAGATGTGACTCCTAAACCTGCTAGATATCCAGAATAAGAGTTCATGTTCTCTAAGTCAAAGAATGAATTCTAGGAACAGAGGTTAAGAGTAGGAAAATTTTATTGAGAGAAAGATTGCTTCTGTCTAAGAGGAGGAAGAGGGACCAGAAAGTGGGTTGCCCGCCCACCCTGCTTCTCAAAGGTATTTTGGGGGACAAAGCCATGAAGTGAGGTGCTTACAAAGTGGTACAAACCTATAGTCAACTAGTAAGATTACAAGTACAATCACTAGGTAATGTTGTTCCAATGGGAAGTTACCAGATGGACATAAGGTGGGACAAAACTATGATTGAACAGTAAGATTACAAGTATAGTCACATAGGTAATATTGATTAAATGGAGATCAAATCGGGAAGCAATTCACGAGCAAGCATGCAAGGAAAAAACAGGGATTTTCCTAAGGGATGGGTCCCCCAGCAGGTCTAGTTTGGCTGAAGGGACTGGGGATAATGCCAAGGCAGGGGAAAAAAAGTCAGAAGAGCCACAGGGCCCAGCTCACAGGCTTTCTGGGGAGTTAGCAAGGTGCTATGTCAAAAGTGCTCAAAACAGCCTGGCAGAATAAAAAATGAGAAACTAGAGACATTTATAGCTAAGTGGATGAACATTGAGGACACACTCTTAAGTGAAATTAATGGGACACACTTGTGTAAATACCAAGTAGTTTCTCTGGTGTGGTAAACTATAAGTGTAAACACGGATCAAAATGATATTGTGATTGTGTAATAGGAAGAAAAGGTCTAAAGGTGTAGGGGAAGTGGAAGCGGTAGGGGAAAGGTAAGAAGGAAAAGAAAAAATAAGAGAAAAGGGCAAAAATGGAAAGAAAGTCTTTGTAAATAGGAGAAGTGGGGGTGAAGGAAGGCCAGGGGAATGAGGAAAGAATAAGAATCAAGATATGTCATGTAAAGGTACAAGACCCCAGCGCTCACTTTGGGAGCACAGAATAGGTGCCCAGAGAGCAAATGTTTCCTTCATTTTGAGAGTATCTTTTACCCTTCACCTCATAGAGACTATAAACTCACCCTGTGGTCCTCTGTCCTGCCCTCAGAGCCCCAAACCACTCATCCTGAAGTGGACACCACCCTGGGCCGTGTGCGAGGCCGGCAGGTGGGCGTGAAGGGCACAGACCACCTTGTGAATGTCTTCCTGGGCATCCCATTTGCACAACCGCCCCTGGGGCCTCTCAGGTTTGCCGACCCACTGCCAGCACAGCCCTGGGAAGGTGTGCGGGATGCTGGCACTGACCCCCCAATGTGAGTAGCCTGGATGGAGGTGGGCAAGCAAGCAGGTTGAGCTGGTGCTAGTTGCCAGCACGAGTGGGGCTGACCAGCTATGCTTGCATTCCTTCTTGGTTGCAGGTGCATGCAGCATGTAGAAAGGATGAACATTTCCAGATTTTGGCTCAACGGAAAACATAAAATCTTCCCTATTTCTGAGGACTGCCTGATCCTCAACATCTACAGCCCAGCTAAGGCTACAACAAAGGCCAGGAAGCCAGTATGCAGCCCAGAGGGACACATTTACCCATCCAACTCCACCCTGCCTTCCTCTCCCTCCTCCTCTTCCCTGTTCCTAACTACCCCCGGGGTCCTGGAAATGCCTGGTAGAGGGGCAGCTGGGGCCTTGGAAACTAGAAGTTACTTTCACATGGCTCTCTCTGCAGGTCATGGTATGGATCCATGGAGGTTCACTGATGGTTGGCTCTGCCACCTCCCAGGATGGATCAGCCCTGTCTGCCTATGAGGATGTGGTAGTGGTCACAGTTCAGTACCGCCTTGGGATCTTTGGCTTCTTCAGGTGACACAGCTGGGCTGGCAGAGGGCTGACTACACACAAAAAGACTTAGAGCCTAGAGTGGAAGTCCAGAGCCTGAGTGGAACGCCCTCCACTGCTGTCTGGAATAGAGAAGGATGCAAGCTGGGCACAGTAGCATCCACATATAATCCTAGCACTCTGGGAGGCTAAGACAGAAGGATTACAAATTCAGGATCATTCTGGGCAATTTAATGAATTGGCAGAACCCTGTCTCAAACTAAACAATGAAAGAAAGAGGTATTTAGCCCAATTTGAAGGTCCTAAGTTCAATCCCCAGTACTGAAAAATAAAAAGAAAGAGATAAGGGCTGGGGATTTAGCTCAGTGCTGCATTGCCTGCCTTGCAAGTGCAAGGTCCTGAGTTTGATCCCCAATATGAGAGAGAGAGAGAGAGAGAGAGAGAGAGAGAG